GCAGGAAAAGGTTCATAATGGAGCCTTTCATCGGGAGCCGGTGGCCGGGTGCCAGGACTGACTCCGGGGAGGCCAGCATGCTGGTTTAGGCCTGCCCTGCACGCTCTTCCCCTCCCTGCCCGCCTGCCTCCCTCCGGGGCGGCGGCGGCAACGGCTGCTGCTGCTGCGTGGACCCCGCTTCCTGTTTGCCCTCCGCGCCTCCGGCTGCCATGGAAGAGGAAGAGGAGGCTATAGGCTTTTTGGACAAGGTTCTGGAGGATGAAGATGTGTTTCTCCTGGAGGAGTGCGAGCTGGGAACCCCGACCAGCCCCGGCTCAGGGTCCCCCTTCTTGGTGGCCGTGAAGGTGGGAATGTGACACGCCCTGGATGCTTGTCGGGGGAGGGGCAGGGCTGGCAGCTCTCGACTGCCGAAGCTGTGTGCGGGCAGAAATGGCTGGTTTGTGCACCAGCCTCATGGCCGGGTGGAAGCACCGCACTCCGGCCGAGAGGGGCTGGCGCATGCCTGCGAGGGGTTGTGAGGGGCCGAGCTCTCTGGCAGCTGTTCCTGGGGGAGAGGTGCAGTGCCTGCCTCCTCCCCCTGGACCAGTTGTCCAAAGTGGCAGTGGCTGCTGGCTTTCCCCAGCAGGCCAGCTGTGCTGGGGGCTTTCTCTGGCAGTGACATGAGTCACCTGGTGGGCACGGCAGTGGTGTGAGCCTGCTGCCCCAGAGGAGCTGGCTGAGTTGAAACCAGGAGGTCGTAATTCATTGTTTCCATGGCAACAGTAGGATAGGTGCACTTAGGAAGTTCGGGCCACAGGGGCCACTGGCCTCCTAGCAAGGAGACTTTGTGAGTCTGGGCTAGGGCAAGCAAGAGAGCATTGGGAGAGAGGGAGAGCCAGAGGTCACTGAGCTTCCTTGAAGGAAAAGAATTGGATCAGCTGAAAAGGGGGTGATAACAGCTGGCTCTGAGGCAGGAGCCAGGTGGGTAGGCACTTTTCCCAAGGTGGGCGTAGTCAAGAAGCATCTGCTGGGCCCCAGCCCACTCACTCTGGGGCTGTGAACGTTCTCCCCAGCAATGCGCCTGTCCTGTCGTAGGAGTTGCCTTGAAGGTAGAGCAGGAGGGGGCTGTGCATCAATCCCATTTCCTTTCTTCGCCTCCTCCCCAGGGCCAGGGGTGCCCCTCGCAGCCACACCGGTGCTGCCTGAGGCATGGTGAGGCATCCACACTGCACCGTTCATTCTTCCTTTCTTTCACCTAGGCCCACTTCGAAGAGCCCTGACCTCAGCCTTTTGCTCGCCTCCTCTGTGTTCTGTGTCTGGGAGAGAGGGCCAGTGGGAACGTACAGCAGGGAGTTTGCAGGCTGCAAGCCAGGCTGCCTAACAGAGTGACCGACCATCCATGCCCCACTCCCCGCCGGGCCTGTCTGCACCCCGGAGGGTGTGGTGCACGGAGCATTGCCGTGGGCAGGAGGCTGCCCCTGAGCCTCTCTGGGCCTCTTTGTCCCTCCTGTAAGATGGGGATCACAGCCCTGCCACGCCCGCACTACAGTGTGGTTCTAAGGAGGAGCTAATGGAGGTAAAAACAGACTACAGACCCACAGGAGATGGCTGATGTGTGGCGTCTGCGTGGAGCCGTAGCCGTTGGCCTGGGTGCAGAGCAGAGAGGAGCAGTAATGGGAGACGGGCAGCGGCTAGCATCCCACCCCTGGTTCCCTCATCTGGTGCTAGCTCAGAGCACTGGGGGTTAAGATGTGACTTAACTAGGCCCGCAGAGGCCTTTGCACTTAGGGTCTGAGCAACCTCCCCACTAGGAACAGGATGGGGAAAAGTCTGGTAATGAACCAAGAGCACCGGCCGGGAGCTAAGTAGTGTGTGGGTTGGGAGATACGGGGAGTCCCTAATGGGCCTTCTCTGAGAACCCCTCCCCAGCGCAGATGGGGTCCTGTTCATATGCTGCCTTATGGATCCACCCTTATTCTAGGCTCTGGCTTTTACCTCAGTCTTAGACCGTATTTTATTCTGCTCAGCACTCTAGGCATCTGCCTCCTTGATTCTACCCTATTTTCCTCAAGGGCAAGGGCCATGTTGTATTCACTGCTGAACACTGCACAAAGCTGGGGACATGACTGGTGCTCAGTGACTTTGTGGAGACAGCGAGGCTCCATGGGGCCTGCAAAGGGTGTACCATGTTCCCTGCCTTGTTCTACTCAGAGGTGTTCCCCGGAGGCTGCACACAGATGCTAAGGGGGCCCAGGCACACGTCACACCTAAAAAGCCCGGTCTTTCCAGATCCCTGTGAGCACCTAGATGTGGTCTTCCCCTCTTCTTTGCTGCCTCAGTTTTCCTGGACTTGTCTCAGCAAGGGGGGAAGAGGCCTTTCCTGAGTGTTGAGGAATTCCAGGCCCCCTGTCTCATCCCGAACACCTCTAGGATACCCTCATTCTCTATCAGGGTTGGTCAGCTATAGAGGGAGAAGACAGGCAGGGTGGCTGCAGAGAAGTGGGGAGAAACCTCTTTGAGTCATTCAACAAACGCTGTCAGGTTGTGTTCTAGTCAAAGCATCCTGCCTGGCACTGGGGAGGAGACAAGATTAACACGGCATGATCCTTTCTCACAAAGAGTTCACAGTTCAGGGCAAGGGGGCAAGCACACAGATAATAGGGATAGAATGAGAAAGTACTCGGGGTTCCAATAAAAGGGTACGAAATTCAGAGGAGGAGACACCACTTCTGTCGGGGTCAGAGCTGGACTTCGTGCATGTGTGTGCACATGCGTGTGAGCCTGTGTGTGTGTGCACATGTGTGGTCAAGGGGCGTTTCTGGAGGGTGTGCTCCTGGCCTGGGCTGTGGACGGTCTTGGCAGTCTGGCACGATAGACCCTTCTCGGCAGCAGGTGGGAATCCAAGGCAGTTCGCTCTTTGCTATTACTTTACTCCAGGAGTACTTCCCCTTAAACAGTGGTTGTGTTCCTGAGCATGTGTCCAAATGCCAGTCCTATAAATCAATCGTGTTTTCAGTGTAATTTCCGAGCTGCTTCATCTTCCTGGGGGACAGAGGTGATTAGGGCAGTGGTTTCCTCCGGAGCTGGGGCTGGAGCTTGCTGTGTTTTTCAACCCGGACTTCCCTTTGAGGAGTTAATTCCCTATAAACTAATAATAATGTTAATACTGATAGCAGCATCACCTCCTGGCCGTAAAGTGTTGTGTGCTTTCCAAAACTCTTTCGTACGGTTCTATTTAAAGGTACGTAGGGCTGATAGTGCCTTGCTATCTAAAAGCTGCTATTTAAAGGAACTCATTTGTCAGGAATAAAAATGTTTTTGTAATGCAGATTAACCTATCAGGTGTTGTTCCGTGCCAGTTTTTAATGGATAGTCAGAAACACCCACATTGATTTCACCTGCCCCAGTCTTTTGGGCCCCTACAGGCAGCGATGGCCATGCCTGTGCCCCCCGCTGGGGTGTTTCCCGAAGTGTGGGCTACACTTCGGATGATTTGAGATGTGATTTTAGGTGGCACCTAGATGTATTTTTTGCATGTTAGTGGTCAGGTTTATATTTTAATGTATCTTAGGGGAAATATGACTTGACATCTTAGGATTTCAAAGATAATGCTTGAGATAAGGCTGTACTTTTAAGAAGTCAGTTGTGAAGAATAATATTAGGTAAACAGGAGTGCAGGTGGTATGTATGACCAAAGTGCAAAGGTGGGCTATGAACACCTGGCCTTCAGAAACACTGCTGGGCCTGCCTAAAGCCTCCGACAGCGGAGAACCTGGGATACAGGGATCCACCTTCCAGGGGAGTGGGCTTTGTCCCCCCTCTCTAAATTCCGCTAAGGAAATGGCTGAAGGGGACCTCCCCAGTGCCTAGCTCTAAGGAAGAAGAGAGAATGGCTGGGCATCCCTGCAGCTGTCTCAGCTCAGAGAGGGGCCAGCTGTCCTAAGGCTGCTGCTTGGCATGGGCACAGCCTCTAGACCCAGTGGCATCTACTCTGAGCAGATCCTGCTGGGTGCTCCTCAGAAGGTGAGGTGGCCCATGAACTGAATATTGCTGTGTGCAGAGCCATTTGGCCTAGGGCTCTGGATGGCAGGTGGCTCTGCCTGTTCAGTCCTCACTATTTTCTTGGAGGAGGTCAGAGTTCCTGGACAGATCGTATCTTGGTTTGGCCCAGACCCAAACCTTTATTTAGCCTCTAAACACTTTAGAAGACCAGGCCAGAGCTGGCTAAACCTACCTTGTAGGTACTGTCCTTACCAGAGGGACTTGACCTCTTGCATTTGGGGGCCTCAAGCCCCCAAACTGTGTAAACTGCTGGGAATGAACCAGCCCGCGGTGGCTACGTTTCTGAAGCTCTGCTTGGGGAGGAAGTGGAGACATCGTCACTCAGAAGGCAGCTTCCCTGTGCTGGACGACTGGCAAGCAGAATGGCCCATGCTGTGGGGACCCTGAGCTCTTCAGAGAACTGGCCCTGGGGATTCTGGGCATGTGGGCACCACCCCCGGAGGGCTCTTTGGGGGCAGAGACTGTCTCTCTCACCTTTGAATTTGTATTCCCAGTGGCTGGCACATAGTGCAGAATGAATGAATGTCCAGCCCTGGTGATTTGTGAGACAAGACTAGCCCCGCAAGGATCGAAGAAACAATTGTGAGTTTCCAGATGATTCTAAGCCAGGAACACGGGGGTCTGAGGAAAGCAGGAAAAAAAAAAAAAAAAAAAAAAAAAAAAAAAAAAAAAAAAGGAAGAGGTTTTTGGTGGTAACTGAGAACAGGCGTCTTGTTGGTAACATGTGCACAACCTAATTTCACATCCTTCGGCTCTCGGCCACCTTTACCCCTATGGCAGCCAAAACGTCAGGTCATTGTGGCCCAGAATGCAACTCTTGGGGCTGACTACTGACTTTTGGAGGAGCTCTTTCATGATTGGGCTCTGAGGCGGAAGTCTCTTGAGAAGAGGGTCTTGCTGAGAGGGGCTGTCACAGGGACTGGCCCAGTGTTCTGTACTCACGCCAAGGCGGATGAAAACATGGCAGCAGCTGCCGTCACCAGGTCTTCACCCGGTCCTAGTCCAACCAGCTCTGCCGTTAAGCTCCAAATGCGCCCCGAGTGACTTCCTTTAGATGTTTGCCGGGCCCTCAGGTGAATCTTTGGTTGGCAGGGAGCAGGAGGGAAGGCGTGCTCCCATTTGTCAGGCTTGGGGAGCAGCAGGGTTTGTGCGATGTGCAGGGAGGCTGCCCGCAATCTGACCATGAGGGGCCGGGGTCGTGGCCTTGCTCTAGGTTCAGACCTTGCCCCTTGAAGGGTGTGCTGCCTGCCTGAAATGCCAAGAGTTCCAAGCAGCTGGCAGTTTCCACCCGGTGCCTTTGGGTGTGGGGGTAATGACAACCCCTTCCAGATCGTGGGATTGTAGTGAGTGAATCCCTGGAAAGTTCTTAGAACTGTGCCTGGTACTTGTGAAGCCATCAATAAATAACTATTGTCCTTCCCGAAAGCTTGACGTGCATGCTGGTTTCCTAATGCTGCCGAAACAAATTACCACACCGTTAGTGGTTTAGCCCAACACAAATGTATTCTCTCACACACAAGTCTAAAAGGGTCAGCAGGGCTGCATTCCTTCTGGAAGCTTCTGGTGAGAGAATCCATTCCCATGCCTTTTCCAGCTTCTAGAGAGGCCCCCTGTATTCCTTAGCTCATGGCCACATCCTGACAGTGTAGCATCCTCCAGTCTTGTAGACATTTTCTTTCCCTCTTCCTGCTCCCCTTCTCTGCTCACATTGCCTTTTCTGACGCTGATTCTCTTGCCTCCCCCTCATAGACCTTTGTGATTACTGGGATAATCCAGTGTCGTCATCTCGCCTAAAAATCCTTAGCTTAATCATACCTGCAAAATCCCTTTTTCCATATAAGATGACGTATTTATAGGTTTGGGGGGGCGTGGGATGTGGACATCTTTGGCAGGACATTGTTTTTCTATCACAGGGTCAGAGACTCTGGGGGCAGCAGCTTCTGGCCCAGATCTGATAACTGGGTTGCTGACAGAAGGCCAAGGATTCAGGCCCTCACCTGGGGAAGGCTGTGGGAACATGCTGGGGACAGGTTGTGCAACTGGGAGAAGGCCACTCTTCTCCAGACTTCAGAAATTTCTGGTAGCTTCATAGACTCTCCCAGCATGTACTAGGAGTGTGCATTTGATGCCCAGAGAGGGTTCTGTCTGAGATTCCAGGGAAGCATCTGATGCTTGAAAAAGAAAAGGAGAGCGGGGAAATCATTAAAGCAGTTGGAGGAGCCTGGAATTTGGTACTCAAGGACTGGGAGGGAATCCCAGCTCTGCCACTGCCTGGCTGTGTGACCCTGGGCTAGTCCCTTTCCTCTTCCAAGTCCTGCCTGCTATGCAGATGGTTGCATAATGGAAAAATATAGTACCGACCTCAGTGAGGTATTTGAGGGCTAAATGCAAGAGGAAGGAACTTACAAGGCTTAATAAATGTCGGATGCCCACGTGTTAGGGGTATCGTTGTGGTGCTGGGCTTCAGGGATGTGCAAGAAGAGTGTGATGACAGTGTTTCCAAGGCCCTACAGAGTCACTGGGCAGTTAACGAGAGCTCACACGTCAGGTGGGAGAGTCGGTCCCCCAGACACTGATGTGAGAGCTGATGCTGCAGCCCAGAGACTTCAGCTGTGACTCCAAAGAGAGCTGGGATTGGGACAAGAGCAGAGCCAGAGTGGAAGAAGGCATCCTGGGCAGCAGGAACCAAAGTTCAGAGGCCAGAACACTCCAGGCATGTTGGGCAGACAAAGAGATCTGACAGCTGTGAGGCAGGTTCGCAGGGTAAGGAGAGGCGCTAGGAGCCAGGGAAGGTGTTTAAGTGAAGAACAAGCTGGACCCCATATCACAGTGTATAGTTATAGATTTATATTTACTTGTTTGTTCGTTTTAATGTCTTTCTCTCCTCTAGAGTATAAACCACATAAGAGCAGGGATTATTGTATGTTTGCTTCCCGTTGGATCTTCAGAGTCTGGTGGGTGTTCAGTAAATATTTGCTGGACGAATAAATAAATGAACAAATGACCTAATTGAATCCCCAAATAATCGCATTTTGCGCTGTTGATATTTTTTAATGTTATTTATTATTATTTTTAAAAACTTTAACGTTTGCTTATTATCGAGAGAGACAGAGCATGAGCAGGGGAGGGGCAGAGAGAGGGGGAGACACAGAATCCGAAGCAGGCTCCAGGCTCTGAGTTGTCAGCACAGAGCCCCACGTGGGGCTCAAACTCACAAACTGCGAGATCATGGCCTGAGCTGAAGTCAAACGCTTAACCTTCTGAGCCACCCAGGTGCCCCTATTTATTTATTTTTAATTCCAGTATAGTTAACATACAGTGTTACATTAGTTTCACGTGTACACTATAGCGATTCAACAATTCTATACATTGTTCAGTGCTTCTCAGAAAAAGGGTACTCTTGATCCCCTTCATCCATTTCACCCATCTCTCCACCCACCTCCCCTCTGGCAACCACCAGTTCTCTGTGGTTGAGATTTTGGTTTTTTGTTTGTCTTGTTTTTTTCTTTGTTCGTTTGTTTCTTAAATCCCACGTATGAGTGAAATCATATGGTATTTCTTTCTCTGACACATTTCACTTTGCATTGTACTCTCTAGATCCATACATGTTGTTGCAACTAGCAAGGTTTTACAGTATTGATATTAAACCCTTGACAAGCATCAGGGGTAAGGCAGTGTTCTCATGAAGGTTAACCTGGCTCTGGTGTGTGGTGTGAAGGGAGGAGAGAGAGGCAGAGGTCAGTTAGAAGAATCCGGGTGACAGAGCCAAAGCCCGCAGCAGAAAGGGAGGGGTGGAACAGAGTCCTTGTAAGAGATTAGCAAGACGGATGTTCAAGGCTAAATGGGGCACGATCACTATGGAGGAGGAGTTCTGGAGTGGGGAGGAGGCTAGTTAGGATATGTGCCTTGCACTGTGAGGTGGTCAGGAAATGCTGGGGGGTGCAGCACCTTCTATTGTGGGGTTGAGCCCTTGGGGACAGGAAGATATAGTCAGAGGTGTAGCTAGAAGGCCACAACATGGGGCTCCCATGGCCGCTTCCGTCTCATTCTCTCTACCCCTCTTCTCAGTTTATACTCTTCCAGGAGCCTCCTCTGGCCCCTGTTGGGTCCTCCCATGTGATCATGCGCTGCCTCAGTCATGGCTCTGATTTCCCTTGTCAACTGTCTGTATTCCCCCATCAAACTGCCCCTTACATACGAGGCCACCTCCTTTGTTCTTTTGCTCACTACTCTAAGACTGGATAGGTGGATGGGTGGATGTCCGATAAGGAAATGTGGGAGAGAAAGGAAGATGTTAGCAGCAGGAAAATGGGTGATTGTTTTTCCTTTTTTATTCTATATTTTCCAAATTTTCTATAGTAAATCTACTTGGGTTTTATTCTCTATAAAAGTGTTAAAGAGGAGGAAAAAGGCAAGAAAACAGGTCCCTCGGGATGTTAGCCTCCTTTCTCCTGACCTGTTAGCTCTCGGTTTGCTCTCATACAGGTGGAAGCAGGGAAAGGCCTGGAGATGAGGAAGCTGGTTCTCTCGGGGTTCCTGGCCAGCGAAGAGATCTACATTAACCAGCTGGAAGCCTTGTTGCTGGTGAGTATATGCTCTGACCTCAGTGTCAGGCTCAAAAACTGCTTTGGGGGTTGAAGAAGAAGGGAGACCTGGATCAGTCTTTCTCTGTGGGCAGAGTCTTTGGTGTTGCTCTGCTGACAGCTTGGCAATGGGTGGCCAGGGGTCATTGCCAGAAAGGGCCTGTGCCTTTCAGCCCTGACTCTCCATTACCTGATCTGGGAAAGCACACAGGCATTACTAATCAATCACAGCACTCTGTCCAGGTCAGGGGGTGGCGTCCCAGCCTATGCCTCCACACTGCTCAGGGTAGTCTCTACCAGTCAATCAAACTGAGCCCTCTTAGTCATTCCTGGTGCCAGTCCTTCCTCCTCCCTGGAGCAGTGAGCCGTTCACCCCATCCCGAGGCCCTGTGGCAGGAAAGGTGAGGTGGAAGGGTGTCTGTGTCTCTTAAGAATCACCATAGCTCTGATGCATTAGACCAACCCCAACCCTCTGTGAAGGTGCCTCAGTTTCCTCCCAAGACGGAGGCATGGCGAGACTCAGCCTGGGAGGGCAATACTATTTTTTTTTTTTTAATGTTTATTTATGAGCTGTCAGCACAGAGCCCCACACGGAGCTCGACCTCATGAACAGTGAGATCATAACCTGAGCCGAAGTCAGACAGCTTAACCGACTGAGCCGCCAAGGCGCCCCAAAATACTATTAATATTAGGTAAAAGTAGTACACAGATGTAAGATGTTTTTGCCTTTGAAGAAAATGCTCATTAGATGCAGCTGGGTAGTTTGCAGAGTAACTTTGGCAGGTCAAGTTCTTTCCCCTGCATGTTTTGCCTTCTGAGATGTAGGATGGTATCAGTCACAGGGAGCATAAGAAACGTAGATGAGTAGAAACTCATTCTTACAGGAACCGTAAGATGCACATTTCTGTACTTGCTGTGATGTGAGATGTCGTCACCCGGTGTCTCGGGTGGGACTTGGTGTTTATTACCCAAGGAATAACTATCGAAATGTGCAGGTACTTTGCGACACCCTGGGCTCAGTTTGGGACAGCTCTCCCCGGGAGTTTATTGGTAGGCATAGCAAGTGTTTTTCAAGTGCTGGACGGTATGGCAGATAGGACTGTGGTCTGAGGCCAGAACTAGGGCAAGACTTGACTGTGCTGTTAATCACAGACTCATTGCACTGTTTCTCATACTGTGCATCTGAACCCATTAGTGCGTTTGTGAAGTCAACATAGTAGGTTGAACCAGTGTGTTTTTTTAAAAGAGAAGGAAAATGTCAGCGTGCATCGCACGTAGTAAGAATAGGTACTATTTTGTGAAACTTTGGGTCTGTTGTATGGATGTGTATATGTATGTGTGTACTGGGCCACGTTATTTCTCACACGTGTTGTGGTTTTGAAAACCACTGGCTTTGGGCAAGCCACGCATAATATCCTGGAACCTCGTTTTCCTCATCTGAAGCTGAGAATAATCCCACTACCTTCTCTCTCTCCTTCGTGGGGTTGAGAAGGTCAGGTGATCCTTGGGGGGACCTAGTATAAATCCCAGGCACTTAGGCACTCAATTAGCTGAAGGAAGGAAGACAAGCAGAGGGCCAGTCAGACACATGTGAAATACCTCTCACACACTGAATTGCCACACCAAAATGAGGGGGCGTAGTTGTCATTACGAAAAGGATGCCCGTTTGAAAGGAGTTCAGACAAAGGAACCAGACTGCTCGCCAGAATCCCTGCTTGACCGCTTTCTAACTCTAGCCCTTCAGCACATTGATGAGCCTTTGCGGCCCATTTTCTCCATCTGCAAACTGCTTGCACTGATACTAGTAGGCACTCTGCTCATGGGGTTGTTGTGGCGACGAGATGAGCGTGTATGTGAAGCTCGTAGAGCCTAAGTGTTAGCTGCTGCTGTTATTTTCTCCGGGGCTGAGAGAGACTCAGGTTAGGGCTTGTTTCTGTCAACACGCCCTTTCCCTGAAGGAAGGGGAGGCCCGTCCTCATCAGAGGCAAGCCACTCGTAGATGCCAACTTGCATTCTTGTCAGTCATTGGGCCCCATGTGAATTTCCGTTTGTCCCAGCAAAGATAGCAACAGGTTTAGGGGCCAAGACACTCCCTCCCTGCTTCGCCTTTCTAACAGCTTCATGCCTCAAAGGCAAAACCTGTGAGGCTGGAGCCCCAGTCCAGAGGTGACCCAGGGCGCATCACTCCTTCCCTCCACCCCCCAGAGTTTGTTCATCCCAGGCCCCTGATTGGTTCTTTCTTGAGCAGTGGCAGGAGGGAGGGGAGAGACTATCTAGGAGGCCTGGCCTGTGCTGGAGGGCCCCAGGAAGAGGGGGCAGGACCCTCCACAGCCACAGCCTCAGATAATAAGCCTCAGAGATAAGGAATCAAACCTCCCTGCCCCCTTCTTGAGCTATAGAACCCTCCCCTCGTGGCTGCCTGGTTGCTAAAGCCCTTTGCTCTTTGCGGGGGGCAGGGGATGACCTGACCAAGGGGCCTGGAGAAGAAAACCTGTCCTCTCCATGGTCCGCGCCCAGATCTCCTACTCATCACCAGACTCTCGACCCTCGTCCCCTGGCTCTGCTCCTACTGTGTTTGTGTTCGACTGTTCTCAGCTTCACACTTCCTGATATGCAGATGGCTGGGTGTGTGTACCTAACACCGAATACACACACACACACACACACACACACACACACACACACACACACACACGCAGCCAGGACCTACACAGGAGCCTCTGTTCCTGCCCCTGGGTGGTTGGCTAGGGTAGGGTTTGGTAATCTGGAAACCTCCAGGTTCCTGGTTGGCTCAGATTACAAGCAAAGTAGGTCTGGGAGCCTGGGCTGAAGTGGGGGGGGTGGAGGAAGGGAGACAAACCAAATGCAGGAAATTCTGCATCTTCCCCACCGTGGGGAATGTGTGAGGAGTGTGTGAAGTGAGCTCAGGTGCTGCCCCCTGGCCCTCACCTAAAGCTCTTCCCACCCCTGGCCCTCCTCTCTCAGCCTCTCATTTAGGCAGTTAACTTTGGGGTTCTCAGGTTCCTTATCTGTAAAACAGGTTAACTATGCCTCCCTCTCTGGGTTCCGGGAGGAGGAGTAAACCCAGGCCTTCTGGGATAGGAGGTGGAGGAGGTGGGCAGATTTCTTCCCCCTGTTTCGAAAGCCAAGTTGCCGGGGGACAGAGCTGACAGATCGCTGTGTGAAGTCCCACTATGAGTCAGAACCCACCTGGCCCATCTTCCTGAGAAGCACTTCATGGGAACTCGAGCGCCAGGCTTGACTCTGAGGTCCCTCTGTGATCCTCTCAAGAATCTTTTTCTCCTCTGATAAAATGGAGAGCCAGGGGCCACCCTTGCTCCCTGCAGCAGGATTCTGGGAGTGCTAACACTTGGGCAGAAGAACGGTGCTGGATCAAAGTTCAGTGTGGGGTTGCCTTGGCCTTGCAGCCATCTGGACCCGAGGCCTGGATTCAGGGCTTCACCAGATTCAAGGGTTTCTGGCCAGCCGGGGCTCACACACACCCATCACTCCCCTCTTCCCCGAGTGAAATCAGAGCTGAGACCAAAGGTCCCCAACCCTGTCCTGAGAACCCTGTGATGGCCTGAGTGCAGCCCCTGTCCATGTGACCTACTGCTGGTGAGCACCCATTTCTTCCTTTTTTGTAGACAGAGTGGGAGGTTCAGGAGGAAGCAGAGTGGTCAGATCCTATCTTTGCATAGGTGGCAGAGGAGTGCATCCCCAGCAGCTCCTGAGAAATCCTGACCCTTTGTCTTCCCAGGACTAGTCCCTCCCTAGTGGGGACTGCACTCAGGCAGGAGCAAGGAGTAAAGGTTCTGGGAGTCTGTGGTGACTTGTCTGTCCACTGGATCCCTGGTAGAGGAAAAAAGGATTAAGTAGGACATTGATCTTGAGGACCATCTCTGTGTCCTTCAGGGAATCTCAGAAGCCCTAAAGCCGAGTGGGGCCACCCACCTGGGGTTGGGAGAACAGTATTCCCTGTCTCCTGGCCCCTGGTTCCTTCTGTTTCCCTCCCTGGCATGCTCACCCATGCCCCACCCACCCTCCACCTGCTCAGATCTTCCCAAACCTCAAGGTTCTGTTCCTGTCACCTCCTCTGTGAAGCCCTCGGAGCTGTGCCAGCACAACCAACCTTGGGACCACTTGGTTGGTACTGACAGTCCAAGATGGGTGATATTCTATCTCGCTTTGCCCACTAGATTGTTTCTTTTTTTTTTTTTTAATTTTTTTTTTCAACGTTTTTTATTTATTTTTGGGACAGAGAGAGACAGAGCATGAACGGGGGAGGGGCAGAGAGAGAGGGAGACACAGAATCGGAAACAGGCTCCAGGCTCTGAGCCATCAGCCCAGAGCCCGACGCGGGGCTCGAACTCACGGACCGCGAGATCGTGACCTGGCTGAAGTCGAACGCTTAACCGACTGCGCCACCCAGGCACCCCTAGATTGTTTCATTTGTGTTGGTCCATGTTACTCAAATAGAGTATAACGTTCTCCACAGCAAGGATCATGAGTCAGAAAAAGAAATCTCCTATAAAGAAAATTGGACCCCCATCACTCCCCTGCCTCACCCTCATTGCAAGGGCTTACAAGCTGCCTGTCTTCCCTGCCCCATCTGGCCTCTGCCCGGTCCTCCAGCCCCGCTCCTCCCCCTTGCCCGGGCACGCAGGCTCACTGCCTTCTTCCGGCTCCTGTCTCTCGCCAAGACCGTACCTACCTCGGGACTGGCGTTGAGGAAGCCTGCCTCGAATACTGTCCTCTGCACCCCCATGCTTCCGTTTCAGGGTAAATGTTCCTTTCTGGGAGAAGCTGTCCTTCCCCACCCTGTCTCAGGAGGTCCCCTTCTTATTTCTTTCACTGCACTTCTATGTAAATTATGTGTCTGTCTCCCCTACTGGATGGGAGGCTCCACGGGCTCGGGGACTGGGTGTGTTGTGAGTCACTGAATACCCTGGTCTGGCCTCACATGAGGCACTTGGTACATTATTTGTGGGGTGAGTAATAATAATAGTAGCAGCTAACACTATTGACTGCCGTCTGTATGCCAGGCACATACTTGGTATTTTATATAAATTATGGCTTTTGATCTGCCCATCAGTGTTCTCAAGAAGGTAATATTATCTCGGTTTTACAAATGAGGCTGCTGAGGCCCAGATGCTAAGTGATGTGCCCACAGCTATTAAGTGGCAGAGCGGAGACTCAAGCCCACACCCCCTGGCCTGCCCCAGGTTAAACCCCATACTACCTCCCTAGCAAAGCCTGGACATTAGGGTTAGCTAAAAGGGTCAGAAGGAAGGCTCTGCTTTTCCCTGCCTTTATCATTTCTGGACTTTTTTTTTTAGAGCTGGGAGGATGAGGGAGCTGGCATTCAGAGCATCATCTGGGTATTTGAGTAGATGGGACTTCCTCTTATGGATAGACATGACCCTGCCACCGCCAGAGAGCCGGATGGGAGAAGTGCGGGAAGCTTGCCTGGAGTTTGGCTGCCGTGGGAGCTCGAGCTGATAGTCATCTCTCAGAGCTCTCAGAGTGGGCCCCTCAGTGTCGGTGTTCCATCCAGTCCAGCACTGAGTCGCCCATTATCTGCTTGAATGCTTCTCTGGTTGGAAAGCTCACTACCCAATCCTATAAGACAATGGGGGACAGCTCTAGTGAGGCCACACCTGTCCCCATAACTTCTGGTTGTTCCTGGGTCTCCAGAGTGACTCAGGGTAAGTCAAAGGCCTCTTTCCACACAGAACCCTTCAGCTAGATGAAGAATATTAACCATGTCTGACTCAGGCTTCTGTCTTCCTGGTGAATGTGCCTGCTTCTCCTATACTTTCTCTATGTGGCAGGTTTCCAGACCCTGTCTCCTGGAGGGCCTCTGGAGTGCAGTCGAGGCATCTTTTGGAGGCTTAGGGCTGAGAAAGGCCAACTTAGGAAGAGCTGTTTATCTCTCAGTATCCGGGGGGTTTTGTTTGTTTGTTTCAACTATAAATTTTAATAGCTTTTTTTTTTCCCCTGGCTATAAAATGAATATTTACTCATTACTCACAGGCAATCACCCTGAAGAGAATGCACCCAAGTCCCATTTTCCTACAAGTCCTACTTTGGGGCATTAAGCTGATAGTTCCAGCTTCCAGCCAGTGTTAGGGAGTGGTCCTGTGTTATTGTCTGTCACCTCATCTGTTCCACCTGTAGGCCCTGGAGAGTTTTGGTGCAGACAAGCAGAGGTCACAGATAAGTTTCATCTTACATGTCAACCTCAGCACTGAGAAAGAGTCTGAGACCACAACCAAGCTCATTTAGAAAGAGCATTGTGATTGACTAGCGATGTCTGCCACAGGTATAGGAGGTAGGACAGGGGCATGCATGCCACCTTGCTCGCTGTCTATATACTAAGTGATGGGAACTAGAAATGTCAGTGCAGCTGATGTTGGTCTTGGGTCTCTGTGAGACACTACCCCAAAATCCTAGAATCATGTTGTGTTTCTTGGAAGTAGCTAAGGGGTTGAGTTCCCAGTCAACCCTCCCTTCCACTGAAGTGTGACAAGGGAGCTTATGACTCAGAGCACAAGGCCATTGTGGAAGAAGGACATGTCCTTTTAAACCAATAACCAAAGTCCATACAGGCTAGGGGAAGGGGCCCCTTGGGGGATGAGGGCGTGGGGGAAATATGTCCTGGTGGTAATTAACACTGGGGCCTGGGAGGGCTGCTGGACCAGGCCCTGGCTGCCAGGTCCCCTCGCAGTTGGGCATGGCTTGTCGGCGCCTATGACAGCAGCTACTTGATACAAACCACACTTCAGGTGCCCTGCCCTCAGTGGCCTTGTCTAGGTACCACTCTAGCTGCAGGAAAGGCTCATCAGTGCCCCGGGCCTTCTGACCCTCCGGTTTATGTGCCTCTCACCTCCTCTCTGCCTTCCTCCTCACTTCCAGCCCATGAAACCCCTGAAGGCCACAGCTACCACCTCCCAGCCCGTGCTCACCATCCAACAGATTGAGACAATCTTCTACAAGATCCAGGACATCTACGAGATCCACAAGGAGTTCTATGACAACCTCTGCCCCAAGGTGCAGCAGTGGGACAGCCAGGTCACCATGGGCCACCTCTTCCAGAAGCTGGTGAGTTTTCTGTTGATGGAGGGTCCTTATCCAGTGTCTCGGTGGAGCTGCTGGTGTTGGGAGAGGACTGGTCATCCCTAGCCCTTTTTGGCCTCCTTGAAGGCCTGGGTCATTTCTGAGTCCTGGAGGAAAGCCTGGGCCTCTGTTGTATGGGGACCTGGGCCTAGTGCCTCAACTCCTGGTCTCCCATGGTGAAGCCCTAAGTGCTTCCAGGGATGTGAGAGGCTATATGCATAGGTTTCTCTCTCCCCAAGGGAGTTCAAGGGCTGGAACGAAGGCTCACTTGCTCGGTTTCAGGTCCCCTGTTCTCAGCTGATAGAGGAGTATGTGCCAGATGGGCGGGCAGGGACTGCTCACTTGGGACACCTTGGGCATTTGCCACACCTCAGTGCTGCCTCTGAACTCAACAGTCAGATGGGACACGGGTCAGCTCTCCTGAGGGATTGCAAGGGAGGGAAAGGTATGAGGAGGTAGAATTACTGTGCAGACATACTGTTGGGAAAGGCTTGCAGAGATCTTCCAATTCCTGAGCCTTCTGTGACACCCTCCCCTGGCTCTGACACTGTCTCTGGCTGTGTCCCCTGGAGGGTCCCCAGGTCAGACCCACAGAGCCCCAACCCCACTCTTCCCTGGTGTTTCTCTGCCTATAACTTCTGCCTGCCCAGAGGGCAGGAAGAGACAGCCAGTCAGGAGTCTTTGTTCTCTGGGTGTGAATGGTAGGGGTAAGGAGCAGTGCCTTTCCTTTACCTCCCCTGCAGTGGTGGGACTGGTTGAATGGACAGGCCTGTATTTTGCTTACACTGGGGAAAACTCTTGCTTGGATACTCCTGCGACCTCATGCTCAGCACGATCAGAACTGAACTTACTGTGTCTGAAGTTCTTTGCTTTTCTTCCTGCCTCTTGTCTCAATGGGTGCTGCCACCATCCCAGCCACCATCCATCCATGCCTCCCTTGGACTAGTCCTTGGCACCTCCTCTGCCCCACCACCTTCCCCGTCCTGAAGCTCTCCCCGCAACCCAAGGAGTCCACTTTAAAGCTTACAGCTGCCTGCTTGTCCCCACCCTCATCTCATTAGTGACTCCTGCTTCTGGGCCCGCCTCCCCAGCAGCCTCCCAACCCTTAGCTACTGGCAGGAGAGAGTTATCTGAACTCCTGACCAGACCTTGCTTCTCCCCTGCTTGAATCTCTCCCCCTTGCCCATTGGATAAGTAAATACCAGGCTCTGAGGAACCGCTTCTGAGACCCTTTGCATGCTGGCCTCTGTCCACCCCCCGGCCTCTGGCTGCTGCCTCCCCCAACCTTGTGCCCCCTGACACCGAACTTTCTATTCTTAGTTCATGCAGCAGACACTCTTGACCTCTCTGTTCTTGCAGCTCTAGCTGCCTGAAATGTCCTTCCCCATCTGTTCCCAGCTTAGAACAGCCTCCTTCGAGAAGCTTTACCCAGACCTTCGAACAAAGCCCCTATGCTTCTCCCCTCAGTGAACACTGTACCTGCCTGACTCCCCAAAACCATAAGCTCTGAGAGAACAGACTGTGTTTGCTTCATCATTAGACCCCAGAACCATCCCAGTGCCCAATACATGAATGAATGAATGAATGAATGAATGAGTGCATCATGACCTTGACCACTGGGACTAGGGAGAACTTGGAAGAGCATTGAGGGAGACATCACAGGACCTGAGGTCTGTGTCCTGAGAGGCCAGCAGTGTTATAGGGACATAGCTTCTAGAGGCACAGCTGACTTTGAATCCTGGCTCTGCCACAGATTGAACCTGTGACTTCGTGTACAACCTCTTTGTGACTCAGCTTCCTCATCTGTAAAAAAGAGGATAATAACAGTATTTACCCCATTGAATTGTTGTGAGGACTACATGAGTTATTACCTGAAAAGTGCTTGGAACGGGGCCTGGAATATAATACATTAGTAAATACTCCATAGTTAGCCAGTAGCGTTACTGTTATTGCCATTACCACTGTCATCATCGTCATTGTTGTTATACTTAGCAAGAGGCACCCCAGAAGGTAGTATGCAAGGGAACCCCACGCTCCTGGTTCCAGCAGCCCCAGTGTGTTTGCGCCAGGTCAGGGATGGTGAATACCCAGTCATCACTCCTGGCCTGGTCCCAGGAGCCTGAGCTGATCAGCTTGGGAGGGCATAAGAGAGCTGACCAGAGCTGGGGTAGGGGGTGTAGGCCAGAGCATAGTGGAAAGACTGTCCCAGTTTATCTTTGTCACTTGGACCCTGCTGTCACGAGGGTCCCCGCATTCTGGTCTCAGCCCCACAGGCCTGGATTGTGAATTTGCTTCCCCACCTTCCCTCCTCCAACATCAGGAACTGCTATCTGAAGCCCCTGGAGCTGCAGGCTTGGGAGGGCCGGGGTGGAGCTGGGGCAGTCCAGGCATCTGGAGGCAGTTTATTTTCAGCTGGTCTCCATTACTGAGAGAAGGGAATTAGCATCTCTGCTATTTGTTTTATGAGATCACCCCAGTGCCAAGCTGCTGTTTCCAAGCAACCTCCACTTCCCAGTTAATGGCCCTGGTGGGCCCGGCCTTGGGCTCTACAGACAAGGATATGCCATGGAGATGGCAGTGCCGGGGGTGGTCAGTGACCCCCTACACACAGGTCTTCTGCTCACGTAGTTCCTGCTCTCACTCCTGCCCTGCTACTCCCTGAGGCAGTAGGATGGGAAGGTAGGGTTCCAACTGGGCAGCCAGCCTTTATCGTTCTTGTGGGAAAGGGGGACAAGGAGAGCACATACCTGGAAGAAGAATAGCAATGATTTTTACTTTGGTTTAGGAAGCAGCTGTCTAGAACCTTCCCTGTGGCTTGGGACACCAGTGGGCCAATACTCCCCTTGGAGAAGGAACTGAGCTCCATCCCTTCCTGCCCTTCTCCCAAGATTTTTCTTTTTTTTTGCAAAGTCTGGCCTGTCTGGGGCTGAGACCTGCACAGCTCTGGCCTTGGCTTCTCTGCAAGCATCCCAGTGCTCATCTTCCCCTCTGGCTTTCCTGGCCCCCACCTGCCAGCTTCCACCTGCCCCACCTCTTTGGGATCTTAAGGAGCACAAGGATTCTGCAGAAAGCAGAGTGGTGCAGAATGGGGTTCAAGGGCAGCCCACTTTCCCCAGCACCTTGGCGGGATCCCCCGACGGAGCCCCGTAGCAGCTGAACCTCCTTGCTACTTCATTGAAAAAGATTTTAAAGCAGAAATTCTAGAGAATAATGTAGCAAACAACTGTGCACTCATCTCCCAGAATTAATAGATGTTAAGCTCTGAAGATATACAGAAAGGCTTTTTAATCAAGAAAACAAAGCCTTACAGATGAAGGCTCTCTCTCTCTCTTTCCCTTGCCCTTCTGCTCAACCTAGAAGCAGCTACTGGAATGAATTTGGTGTGTCGCCTTCTGGGCTGTAGTTTGTGTTTTTTATTATGGGTCTGTATCTTTTTATGGCCTTACATGTACTTTTTACATGTATATATTTTGCAATTCAGTCAACATTTGTTTTGGAACTTGTCAGTGTTACTACACAGAGATCTAGTTCATTCATTTGAACTGTGCTGTGTGTGTGGATTCCCCTTTTTTGTGACCATTTGTTATCAGTCTTTTCACAGGAGGAAGAGCAAAGCAGTGAATACACTTGCCCACATTTCCTTGGGAACACACATATGCAAGTTTCTCTAGAGCAGTGCTTCCAGTACAAATATAGTGCGAGCCATATATGTAATTTAAAATTTTCTAGTAGCCCTATTCTTAAAAGTAAAAACACAGAGGGATGCCTGGGTGGCTCAGTCGGTTAAGTGTCCAACTTCGGCTCAGGTCATGATCTCATGGTTCATGAGTTCAAGCCCTGCATGGGACTCTGTGCTGACAGCTTGGAGCCTGGAGCCTGATTCAGATTCTGTGTCTCCCTCTCTCTCTGCCCCTCCCCATTCATGCTCTCTCTCTCTCTCTCTCTCTCTCTCTAAAACAAAGAAACATTAAAAAAAAAATTTTTTTTTAAGATTTTAAGTAATCTCTACACCTAACGTGGGGCTCAAACCCACAACCCCGAGATCAAGAGTTGCACGCTCCACAACTGAGCCAGCCAGGCGCTCAGGCACTGTACCTTTAAGTGCTGTGCCTTATACTCAGCATGGGGAGTGGGGTACTGAACAGGCTACACGTGCCCTCCCTGCTCCAACTAATTCCAGACTATGAAAGACGTGTGAGGCATTCAGGGGCTTCAAACCCTGAGAGACCTTGATGATGCTAAATAAAGCCAAATGCTGTTGAGTTTCTAGCATGCCAACAAAGGCCCTGCCCTGATCCCCCCAGCCCCCAGTACCCTCTTGTTAACCTTATTGGCTGAGCTGGTTTCCACGGAAACAGTCAAGTTCAAAGGGGTACCGTAGTATGTTCATCCTACCTTTCCCTCTCTGTTCCCACATAGCCCTTTGGAGCTAAGTCAGAAGTTCTGAGTGCTAAGGGAGCTCCAGGTGCCCTGCTTAGGCTTTCATCCATTCATTAATCCTCTCTCCCATCCCACTCCTGCCCTCCTCTCTCTCTCCTCTCTTCTCCCTGCAGGCCAGCCAGCTTGGCGTGTACAAAGCGTTTGTGGATAACTATAAAGTCGCTCTGGAGACCGCTGAGAAGTGCAGCCAGTCCAACAATCAATTCCAGAAGATCTCGGAGGTGGGCAGCTCCCTGCACAGCCCCCGCTACAACCTGGAGCCTTCCAGCCTTCTGGCCTGTTGCCAGTTAGGGAAATGGTTCCCCTGAGGGTAACACTTAGACTGACATTTGCTTTCTCACACTTGATATTTTCCCCCTTAATATAAGAATAACGATTTGTTTGATTTTGTTATTCTGTTTAGGTTATTCTATATTAGAACAGAGGAGGCAAAAAAGAAAAAAGGCAGTATTTTCCCAGCACGGTAGTGACCTTGAGCAAGTCACTTGCCTTCTCTTGGCCTTATTTCCTCTTCTGTCCAGTGAGGGATCTGGGTGTTTCAGCTCATCCCAGACTTGCTTGATAAGAACCACCGGGAGCACTGTTTAAAATGCAGATCTTCAGACACCTTCCCTGGTGCTTCAATTCAGAGGGTTTGGGTGGGACCCAGGAGTCTATATTTTTAACAAGCTTCCCAGGTGATTTTATGAGCAGGAAGGAAGATTTGAAGAGGTCTAAACTAGGTGGTGTGTGTGTGTGTGTTTTTTAATGTTTATTTATTTATTTTTGAGAGACAGAGAGAGAGTGGGGAGGGGCAGAGAGAGAGGGAGCCACAGAATCCAAAGCAGGATCCAGACTCAGGCTCCCAGAATTAACAGATGTTAAGCTCACCTCAAACGGTGAGATCATGACCTGAGCCGAAGTTAGATGTTTAACCGACTGAGCCACGCAGGCGCCCCAAGGTGGTGTTCTAAGATCCTTGCAATCCCACAACAGAGAGAGGGCCAGGCCCATTTATGTGGGGACACAGCCATATACCTTCCAGCTGGTAATAGACCTGTCCCCCTGTTGCAGCTAAGCCTTCTTCCCGTTCTCTGGAGGGCAAAGATGTGGCAATGTCTGCCATTGACACTTCTCTCCAGGAAGTGTCAGGGAGGAGCTCGCATATCCTCCGGGAGCAGAGCCCAGCTTACCCCTTTGGTCAGAAGGATCTCAGTGAGACCCCCAAGCTGCTGGCCTTGCAGTCACGGCACCAGCTCCAAGCCTGGGACAAGAAAACCTCTGGTTCCAGGGACAGGGGGCTCCTTCTGCAGTTTTGGAAATCCTGCCTTACGGGCCTCTCTGGACTCTTTGCTTTCCGCTCTCAGCGCTGGTGCTAGAAGAGTTGGTGAGACGTAGGATAGTGTTTGTGAGACTCCTGGGGTTATGGGTTCTCCTCCAGTTTGGAACTAGCGGAGAGGCAGCACAAGGGTTGGGCAGATGGAGATGAAAACGTCAGCTTAATTACTAGTAAAAGCCAGATGGGAAAATGTAGACTTGGGTCTGCGGCCACATTGGGCTTGCTAATACTTCCCCTCCACCATCAAATACATCTACTGGGGACGGAAGCAGGGAGCTAAGCTCAGTTTCTTCTCCCAGAGTCAGCCGTCAGGTGAGTCACCCTCTGCCTGGGAGGACAGAGTTGGGTGGGGAAGTCCCTCCACATGGAGTCACAAGGCTGGAGAAATGGCGCTTCCCCTTATCACTCCCAGCGCTCCCTGGGAACAAACTGGAGCCCTCTGATCTGTGTTCAAGGCTGCCCGGGGTCATGTACGGTCCAGAGAGTGGTGAGTCCCCCCTTAGCTTGGGCCGACTGCCCATTCTCTTTGGTCGGCGCCGGCCCCTGCATCCCTCCCCTAGTCCCTGGCAAAGGCTGCTGGCCCCAAAGGCGGAGCCAGCCCCTTGGCCTGCTGCCAGGTGGCTTCTCACCCTGACTCATGCACTGATGCCGTCGCTTCCTGGCTTCCTACTGGCGCTTCCACTTAATCACTGCAGTCAGGCCCTTCTCTGCAGCAGGAGCGATTTCATACCTCTAGGCCACGCTGGAGAGGAGCATAGAGAAACATTTCCTGAAGCTGGGAATCCACTCACCAGCCAGAGACACAGTCTTGAGGAGCTGAGTAACCCTCTTCTCCCCACCCCCATGCTCAGTCCCCAAGGGTTTTCTCTGTCTAGAAACAGCCTGAGGCAGGAGTAGGAAATGGGGAGCTCCCGTCGCTGCCTGGACATTTCCCCACTTCCAGGCAGAGCAGACAACATCACCTGAGTTTCCGACCTTGGCCTCACCTCGCCCTGGCCTCTCTGCTGACACCCCACTCGGAGGCCCCCTCCGTGCACTCAGCCCCGCAAGTGGGGGTTGCATTACAGCTCCAATTACAGGCCATACTGGTCTGTTGCCAAAGGGCTAGAGCAGGAAGCTCTCTCTCTAAAGGCAGATAAAAGAGGATCGAATGGATAAGCCATCCCTGGAGTCTGTTTCCAGCCCTCACTTCTGGATCACTTTGCCTGGGGTCCAGGAGGGGTGTTGGCTCTTCCTTCCTCGCTTGCAGTTTTCTCTCTGCTGCCAGCACAGGCACCGGTGGGTGGGGAGTGGCAGGTGTGGGTGGGGGCTGGGTTGAGTCCCTCTCAATCTGGGTAGGATATAGGTCAGACCACCCTGTGGAGCTGGGTCTCTGCCCCAGGTGTGCTGCCTCCCTGCCTCCCCCTGTGCAAGACCTTATCCCCTTATCTCCATCCCTCCTTGTCTCCAGGTCTGCTTGTGCCCCAAGGTGCTGGTACTCCTTTTCCTTGTCCTCTCAAATCCCACATACCCTGGGCTGATGTGTACAACCCCTGTGTGTGGCTGCCGTGGAGGGAACCCTGACCGGGGGTGGGGGTGGGGGCAGGGGGAGGTCCTGTTCTTGTCACCACCCATTCATTGGAATGCCCTCAGGGTCACCAGGGAGGGGCTTTAGGGGGTGTGTCTGAGGATCACTATTGTCACAGACCTCTCTGGTACCCAGAACCCCTCCTCCTCACCTACACCCAGTCTTGGGACTCCACAGGCTCCAGGAGATCATGGGTGTGGCACAGGGAGTCGGGAGTCAGTGAGGCAGGCAGTGGGGGGACCCATGCTTTGGTCTTTGCCCTCCTCTTCACACCCTGGGTTTCAGAGCCGTACTTGCTATGCCTCCAGTGGGGGATGGGGAGGCCATGTAGTGATTCCTCCCCTCTGTTTGGCAGGAACTCAAAGTGAAAGGTCCCAAGGACTCCAAGGACAGCCACACATCAGTCACTATGGAAGGTACTCTGGGGAACGAGCTGGGTAACAGTCACCTTCCTTTGTCTGCCTTTGTGGACTACGGTGCCCTGCTTGTGTGAGCATGTGCGTGCGAGTGTGTGAGTGTGTGTGATGCACAAATGGGAAGAATCCAGCCTCTGTCCCTAGGCAGCCGGCCAGCTACAAACGTGCTCCTCCTTAGGATGCCAGCAGGCAGCTCGCTCCCCTCCTCCTCCCCCTTCCCCCTCCTGCCTCTCCACGCGCGCCTCCCTCCCCGCCCCTCCCCCTTGCTAGAGGAGCACTCTGAAGCGGCTGCTTGATTCAGGCTGTGCAGCAGCAGCCGGCAAGGTGGCTGAGTGGCCAGGCTGCTGATGGGAGCCACCGAGCGATGGCCGCAAGCTCCTGCCGCTGGGACGGAGGCTGCCATGGAAATTCTCCTCATCATTCGCTTCTGCTGTAACTGCACCTATGGTAACCTAGGCCCCCTCTCACGGGAGGCGGTGTGGCTTCCCACCTCTGGGGGCCGGCCAGAGTGGGCTTATGTGTGGCTGGCAAGGTTTGGGGGGCAGCAGGGAAGGGAGTGGGTGCAAATGGCTAGATCTGTGTTTACCCCCGTTCTGGCCAGCTTCCAGCTTGGAATAGAAGTCTGGGGCCACGCGGGGCAGGGTGGCTCGGAAATGGAACGACCAGGCTAGAAGCGTCCAGGTACCCCCGTCCCGAGGATCGGTGGGGAATTGGGGGCTTAGCTCGAGAGGCTGTGGGCAACTTCCTGGAGATGCTGTTTAAGAAGAGAAAGTGACCAGGCTGTGCCTGCAGGTGTGGCAACCCTGGGGCTAAAGGGGCCCGGCAGGGGACCGTCAAAGAGTGGCATGTGGTCTGGACAGCAGTGCCTCGGGCCAGGGGGACCCCGCTGGAGGGACAAGTTGGGAGTTTCTTTGTTTCCGGAGAGAGGAGAGGCGGTTGAGCCGCCAGGGTATTGTGTGCTCAGAGCGCACATGCTGCCTTCGCGACATTCTCTCCTCAGAACAGCGGCAGTGGGAGAACGCGGATGCAGTTGGGAGAGCAGGAAGGAATTGGGTTGCTCCCAGGATGGAGGGGTGTTTCTAGCCTCTAGAGACCCCCAAGCTGAGGTCTCGGCACTTGGTGCAAGCCGGTAGAGAGGGGGGCGTGGCAGGCTGCCGCCTTGTGAAGGTCACACACCTGCTGGTCAATGGAAGGGACCCAGAGCATCCTCTTTGCAGCTCCCTCAGCAAGGAGGTCCTGGGACAGGCGCGTGCTGTCAGCCAGGCTCTTGCTCAGAGCAGGTAGGAGCAGGCCCAGGAAAGGGGGTGTCCGGAAGCAGCGGACGCTGCTCTCTGAGGCAGGAAGTGCCTTAGGGATGACCCGAGCTGCCTTTGGCAGGGACGGGGTGCGGAGGGAGGGTCAGGTGTGACCTCCACGCAGGCTGCCCTGGGCCCCTGTGTGTTGGAGCAGCAGGCGGCTGGTTTTAGGACCTCCTTGCCTCAGGCGTTTTGTCTCTGCATCCTCTCAGTCACTTTGCCTTCACATCTCCGTGGTAACCTGGAGCTCCTTGTGGAAGGCTGAACGGAGGAGGGTGGCTGTCGGCTGGAGGAGAAATGATGAGGTTTCCTGGGCTCTTTCTCAGAGGCCACTGTGCTGGAGGGGCTGTTGTCCGCTCCCTTCTCAGGCCATGCTGTGTCGAGGCTCGTTCTTGATGGAGGAACCCCTGAGGTAGCCCCTCTCCGGCTGCCCCAGGAGGACGGCTGTGGGAACCCCAGTCACCGGGCAGGAGCTGTCCTGGGCCCCCCACCCGTTGGCTCAGATTCCAACAGGCTGGGGTCAAGAGGAGGGACGGACTTGAAATTGCCTTGCTTGAAGATCAGAGGAGAAGTGCTCTTTTTGGTTTGGCCTAGGAGTGGGTCAGGTCTCCACTCTGCCTCCTTAAAAAGGAAACGGGTCAGCCCTTTGCTTCCTCTTCCCTCCCCAAAAGGGAGTTGAGTCTTAGTGAAACAGACCTGGGACTGGAGTTCAGGGTTTTTTTTTTTTT